AGTTTTTCTACCCTTTTGATTTATTTTAATAATAAATAGTGTGAATGTACCAATGAATAATGTTCATATTCTTTAAATGGGTTTAATAAAGTTAATAAGCACTAAATGCTACCTAGTGTATTTTGTAGTGTAACTTTTACACTTACAAATCAACTCTAATATTTTTACCCCTACACTAAAAAGTTTACACGGGCCAAATTTTTTACTGTGTAAATTAAATTTCATCATTCATAATAAAAGCATTGATATTATTTTTTACTTTAATATGTTTGTAATCTTAGAACAAACTTTTTCCTATCGAAACGTCCCCAATTTGTAATTCAGCAGCAATTAATTTAAATTATATGCTATAGTTTTCCTAGTTACCTAATAGAGTAAGCAAATTAACATTATTTTCTTTTCGTATAATAGTGGCTATACTTCGTTTAGCACCTGTACAATTTCTGGTGATATAAAATCTAGGAAATATTTTGCAATGTATTAATGATACATGGTATCAAGCGCTATTATATCACAGGTTAAAAGGTTAAAACCTATTTATATAAACATTAAAACAATTTAAAAGGATTATTAAACACTATTTAATTAAGTGTTTAAAATATATGGGGCATTCCACGCCAAATCGGATGGTTTAAAAAAAAAATTATTCCTCCAATTTTTTTAAATAATTTTCAGTACTCCTTGAAAGAGCTTTCTCAGTAAATTTTGAGATTTTTTCGAAACTTATAATAGTTTTTAGAGAATTTTTTTTTTAATTTTGAAAAATCGAAAAAAAAATAGTAATTATGGAAGGCCCACTACCGGACCAGGCTGAATAGTTGTTGAATAGATATAAGTTGAAAAACACTATTTAAACTTTAAAACTCAAAAATCTTGACTTAAAACGCTTCAAATATTTTCAATATATTTTTTTTCGAAAAGTTTATTTAAAAACGAAAATTTTATTTAGAATGAACATTTTGATTTGGACCATTTTTTAAGAAGTTATGAACGCAAAACCAAAAAGTTGTATACGTTTTTTCATTTCATTCATTTTCAGATATGAAACTAGCAACGGTATTCAAGGACAAGAATCCGGGACACTCAATAACGCCGGAAGTGAAAATGAAGCCATTTCCGTCAAGGGATCATACTCCTTCGTAGGACCAGATGGAGTTACTTACACCATAACTTACATAGCTGACGAAAATGGGTTCCAACCTCAGGGAGCCCACTTGCCTGTAGCGCCGTAAAATTGAATGAAGGACTAATTTAAAATATATTTTATTTGCACTTGTTTATAATGTAAATACACCCACGAAAAATAAACTGTTTTGTAAAAGCTTTGTTTTATTCAATTTGACATTTTTGGTATTTCGGAACAACAGAATTTTAATTAATATAACTTCAAAGATGGAATTTTTATATTTTTTATATAGTTACGTTAGTGTGTGTATTTTATCTAAGGGATCATGGGGAATTATTGTGTTTTAAATTGTAAATAAAATTCAAGAACTAAATCGTTGCATTTTCATGTTTTGCCAAAGGATCCAATTCGGTAAGTACATTTGCTGGTGCAGAATTAAATAATGATAACTTTACCTAATATAATTTATATTTAAGTTTGGACATTTTTAAGAAATTTTTGCACAAACATAACCTTAAAAACAACCATTTTTATATTTGAGTTCTCTTAAAAACGTCGACAACTGCATTTTTAACAACAAAATATACCTACGAAATCTTGGCAACATAATATTATATATAATACATAATATACTGGTATTTTACCGTTAAGTGGAGACTTTATAGAATTCTTAATCAACGCTTTTAATAATGCTTAATGCTGTTTAAATTTAGACGACTTATTTGTTTGACGATTTTTACTGAATTGAAATGTTTAAACTTTTCACGTTAATCATTACTAAAATGTGTATTTATTGTATCTAATAGACACAATTTATATTTACATGGACTGTATGAAATTTATTTCTTCATTCGGATTAACACTGTTTATTGGGAAACCGATAAAAATTCAACCCAGGATTTCCTCTCGAAATACACCCAACAACAGAACAAATCGAGCCACGGTTTTTTTCCGAAATTTTTTCGACATTTTCCGGCTTTATTCTCAAAAACACTCGTTTGTAACACACGCGTTTGACAGCTGATTATCAAAAGTTGTACTTTTGTTACGATGATAACAGCCGAGTGGTGGCGCTACTAGCGATACTTCTTTAGCGTATAGCAATAAAAAATTTAATTTGCATACTTAACATTTTTTAAACGTTAAAAAAATGATGCGAACAATAAGTAGCAGTTAAATACGTTAATTGATCCTAGAACGTGTACTTAATTATGTAAGACTTCTACACAATTATCCTTGTAAGCGTTAATTAAATTATTATTAATATTTCTTAACGTAAAATTCAATAATGATTATTGAAGATGCGATGTTCTTATAATACAGAAATAAATGTCACAAAAATCTTAATGTTCCAACATAGAAGTTGTGCATTAGATGACGTAATTTTAATTTGAGAATTATTATTATTATTTATTTTGCAATCGATTGTAAAACTGTTGCAATGGCATTAACAAGTAAAAGCAAATTCCCAGATTAATTCACGATGATCTATGTGTACTTTTTGATTCTTATCTGTGCAAATAGTTTTTTGATGTGTTGGTATCTATAATTATTGGGTATTCATTGGTTTTTAGATGCTAAATGATGTTTGAACATGGTTTTGTAATATATTGTGCAGTTGTTGTACCTAATTGTTGTGATATACGAATACATGATAAATTGGGTTCGTTGTCTTTCTACCACTGGTATCTCCGAAAACGACAATAATTATACGAATTTAAATATTAGTTATACTCTGGCGGTGGTTTAAGAAACTTAAATCGTATGTTATAGAATACCTTTCACTTTATTTATATGCTTTAGTGTTTTGTTAAAAGATGGCATTTTACTTGAGTTCATCTAAATTATTTGTTTCAGGTTTAAAAACTATTTTGAACAAATACTTTCATTTAATTTATTAGACACTTAAGAAATATTATTTATTTAAAATTTATATATGCCGTTTTTTTCTTATAAATAAAAAAGTATAGTAATTGGACATTTTATATAGTAATTGGACACATGGACCATAGTTATTGGACATACAATTTTTATATAAACATAACCACTTTACATCAAATAACATAAATTGTTAAATATTTTTAAAGATAAATTGCTGTTTTAGGTAATTTTTTTATTTCGTTTTTGTAAATATCATATAATTCATATATTTCTTTCTAGGATTCCTCATCCCTTTTCTGGAGTCTGAAGGTAACTACTAATTCCTTGGTCTGACTTCTGAAATAGTTTGTTGCAAATATCATTAAGTGTGGTATCTCTAGTTTGTGAAGCATTTATAATGTTTAAGCCGGAACAGGATGATTTATATATATCTAAAATTTTTTCGGGTGGTATGTTAAAAGTATTTTCTGAATTTATTAATTTTGTTGTTATTACTTTTTTATGTTTTCTATCATGCACTGTATTTAAATCACTGTTATTCTTCAAGATGTCCTGTAACGAAGAAATCACTATATTACTTACTCTCTAAAAATGAATTAGTCCAAAATGTCATAGCGAAAAAGCGGCCACTAATAATTCTTGTCAACAGCAATTTGTATTCAGGGCATTTAGCAATCAATTCCTATAAAATATTATTCGCTGAATCCGAAAATGTCGTCAAAAGTTATAAAAGTTTTTGAAATATAATTAATTTTACATATAATTTGGAATTGACTATATCTCAAAAACTGGTTAACTTTTATAGTTTTTGACGGTCTTTTCGGATTCAGGGGACAACTTTATATAAGAATTGGCTGGGATACAAATACATACATATGTCCAATAATAGAAATTTACATTTTTTACCAACCAGTAATTGGACACTGGCCATTTTACTATTTGTTTTCAAAATTTAAATTAAAACGCATTAAAGTGACAACCTTTAAACTATGAGGAACACATTTATACCACACACTGATCTGTACACTTTTTAGAAATATTTTTTATTGTAAACACAGCCCTGCTCTTAAGAAAAAGAACAAAAATCTTACCACCAAAGTAACGTACAAACTTATTTGTCCTATATTGGACCGAAAATAAAGTAGTTTTATATTATTACCGACTGAGATATTTATAATTGTATACAGTGTCATCTAATGATTTGACTTTAAGGTAACTATTTAAAGAACTCTTGTTTTTACAGTATTAATGTTAATTGTCCAATAACTCTTACTGTCTACTTTACCCTATAGTTTTAATCACAGAACAAATGCGTTTTATAAAAATAGAGCAGAGCTGCAACTAAAATCGATTTATAGAAAATTAAAAAATACAATCTGAGTAATTTTAAGATTAAGAAACTTATTGGGTTACCGATATAATAACTTTAAAACAAAAAATTACTTTGAACAATTGTATTTGTTCATAACTATGTATTTATACAGATATCTATCTATTCCTGGTTAACTAATCATACAACTTGAATACGGAATCATCATCTAACAATCTGGAATTGTTACATAATATAAACAACATTATTTCTTCTTGTTTATTATTATGAGTGGGAAATCAACAAAAAGGACATACACAACATTTAAAATCATTTGATTACACAAAATTGTTAATCTTAAGATCAATAATTATTATTGTTATAATGAAAATTGTTGTAGTATTAGTGTTTATATTAATTAATTTTCATTCAGGAAAATGTGCCACAAACATTGAAATTATTTCCCAAGTTTCAGATGTGGATCTGAACAAATACAACTTCAGGTAAGTGAATGATTATTTCATAACTTTGTAAGGTGAAAAATTTACAAATACGATCATAAAAAGAAGATTTTATTAACAATAAAACAATAATACATTTTTTGGCGATGTGTTAACCTCGGTTATATTAAGGTATGGTCCTCTATAAAACCAAGAAATTTACTTCGTAGAGTCAGTCAAAAAAATGCAGTCCTCAGTTGTTTTCGCCTTAACGATGTGCTTTTTGAATTTGCATGTTTTTTGTTCTCAAATATCCAGCGAATATAAAAATGTCAAGGTTTTGAGTTACCATCTGGACGGGCCAAGTCCTGATGGATATAATTTTGGGTGAGAAAATATTTAAATATGAGGTTGTAATTTTATTGTGTTTTTAATTTAAAGCTACGAAACGTCAGATGGTCAGACGAGGGAAGAATATGGAAAAATTGTGAAGAAGGGGAACAATGAAGAGGTTCTTCAAGTCGAAGGATCATATTCCTATAAAGGAGTTGATGGCAGGTATAATAATAATTTATTGAATAAAACATAAAAATACAGGGCATATTTTGTATAAAAAACTTTTTTATAGAATATACAGGGTTATATTTACTGCAGGCGAAGAAGGATATAAACCTAAAGTATATATAGGTGACCATATTCCCACAGCGGCCTTAGCATCGCTTACTGGTGGACTTGGATAAAGATATACATAATGTAAAAAATGTTTTTCTTATTTATAAATAATTAAATTATTGCTTTTTTATTTTATTTGGTTAATAATTTTTGTTCAATATTAAAATACATTTCGAAAAAAAATCAAGTTATTTTTTTATAAAACAACTAGATTAAGACAAAAACACTTTTGCAAATATATGTCAGGATTTAGAAAAATTTCCATATTTTGGTAATTTTTGAAAATGTGGCAACGCAGCAAAAACAAAAATCCTAGATTCAGAGAATTTTCTGTAAATAGTGAAGTTCGGTATTGTGTTTTAGGTTCACATTGTGAACCTAAAACACAATACCTAAATAGTTATTTATGTCATTAGGTTAAGAAGTAAGGCTTTTTGTGCTAAGCTCAAGGTTTGAAGGCCGACGCGTAGCGGAGGCCTACAATTGAGCGAAGCACAAAAAGGCACTTCTTGGCCGAATGGCATACAACGGTTTATCTTTAAAGCACTTTATATAGGACAATTTAATTCAACATCAAAGCGGCCTAACCTCACTTTTTTAGAATCTCATTATTAGCTAAAGATGACATTAAATGTACAATAATTATTATTGCTTTTAGAAGCAGTAATAGTTTGACAATACCTAGCTACATGATTTAAGTAGAAATGGATTTTTGCTTTTACATTGAATTCAATTAATTGTTTAATAAATAGGTAGGTATCTAATTTCAATTTGTTTGGATTTTTATTAAAAAAATAGGTAGTTTGGAATGTTTAAGCTGTGTTTAACATTTAATTTCACTGAACACTTAAAGCAAATTAAAACTTAAAGATAATTTAAATCGTAGGAAAAGAATCGTGCGTTTTCTTGGTTGCCTAACCTCATTTTTTGTTTTATTATTCATATTTAATTTTACAATAATTTAATGAAAAATATTAAACATTAACAGTAAAACAAACAAATTAGTGCTTATCATAAATAAATTAAACCAGTTCAGTACGTTAATTTATTAGAAAAGGATTAATTTGTCAAACCAATACCCCTAGCGAGAAAAAATCGAACTAATTACTTGCCTCATAAAAATTTTTATCGGCCTAGGCCATAACAAGGTATTTCTTTATCGAATGTTGACAGCAATAAAGTTTAAATTATAGACCGCGTGGAGATAAAAATAGTTATTTATGTATAAAGGCAGTAAGGTCGTATTTTTTATCAAGAATGTGGAATTTATTTGCCGAGGCGAAAGCCGAGGCAAATAACCACGCGAGTGATAAAAAATGACTTTAATGCCGAGGTGCATATTAAATTTTATCCGAAATCGCATTTAATTATATTGATGATAAAATCAAATGTCATTTGAATGTAGGAAGTGTCTACGTATACTGTTTGTTGCCACGGTTATGACATATTTGCCCGCCTCAGCGATTTTTTAATTTAATTAGTAAAATTAACTTCATATTTTTAATAAACAACATTTTATAAAAGCGTCCAATCGACCTTCGCAACGGTGCTTTTTTTAAATATTATTTAGTTGCTGCTGAGGAGCAGTAGACACATCTTAAAATGTAAAATGGGTTGCATACAATACTCGATTTCTTTTACTATACTGCCGATTGTTGACTAATTTACTGCCGATTTCGGATAACATTTATTGTTTTAAGAAAATGTCAACTATAAAAAATCATATTTTTGTGTTATTAAAACTATTATTAATATTTTAGAACATACATAGTGCTTTACACTGCAGGAGCGGAGGGATACAAACCTCGAGTTTCAATTGACGATGAAAAAACTCCACAACTTCCTCAACAAGCACCTATACCTACTGCAGCTGTCGCCTCACTTGCTGGTGGTGGACTAGGTTGAAAAAAATCAATCAAAGTATTGCTTATAACATTTAAATAAAGCCCCATACAAAAACAATCCTTTTTATTTTTTCCAGATTAAACACCATTCTTTATACTTAAGAAGAAAATAATTATAAACCTAGAGTCACAATGAATAAATCGAAAGCTAATAAAAATGTGTATTAAGCAATTAAAGATTTTTATCCTAAACCCCCTCCAGCCAATGAAGCGATCACAGCTGATCCAATGATGGGAAAAATGTCCATAGTACCATTGACAGGGGTTTCCGTAGTTGAAGGAGATAATATTGTAGGTTTGTATATAACTAATGGTGGAGGTAAATCAGGAAAGTTCGGGGGGTTTAGAATCACTGTACTAAATTTATCCTTTTTATCTTGTAGAATCTAAAAATTTGATATTAAAACATGTTCTATCTTCCTAAACCTCCACCAGCCAAAGTTGCTATAACAGCTGACCCTACTTGTGTAACAGGTGGTATAAAAAGTTCTGGTGATTCAACAGGCGGCAAGGTTACATTAACATTAGTAATAGAAGTAGTGGTATTATTATTTACATTAGGTAATGTGGATGGTGATGATATTTCGGTGGTAAACGAAGAATTTTCAGTGCTTGATTCAAATTCATTGTTTTTTATTTTCTTGATTATATTAAGAAGATGATTATCATTTGTAGTATCTTCTCGGGATGGGTGGGCGACTTTTGGAATCTACAATAAAAACAGGTACTTTATGATACTTTTAAGACCAAAATAAAATAAAAAACAAAAATAATTCCAAAATATATTTCTATTAGAATATTTCATTACAAACTCCATATTTTTCTTAGCCCAATCCACCACCCGCCAAAGATGCAATGGCCGCTGAACTGATATCCAGAGGGGGAGGTGGGACAGTTGTAGTTCTTGGAGGTAACGGGGGCAGTGGAGGTAGCGGGGGGAAAGGTTGCAAAGTGGTACTTGTAGAGTCGTTTTTATTTAAGGGAGAAAATGTTGGACTTAAGGTTGGTAATGTGGGTTCAGAGCTTGCTTCTTTGTTTGGTAGGTTAACCACTTTTTGTTTGGTTTCTGCTGTTAAAGGTATGGTTTTGGGTTCCTTTGTGAGGTTATCTTCTTTTTTAACTGTTAAGGGTAGTTTTGAGGTAATAGTAGTCTAAAAATATTAAGGAGAAAATAATTGACCGAATGAATGATTTGTTCTTTTGAGTATCTCCAAAGGGTGATGTACTATGCTCCACACCTCAAAGTCCCACCACGTGAAATACTTAATTTTAACTAAACAGCATTTATTAAAAAAAATCTAGCTTCTCTATTATGGAATAAGAATATCTGTATTAAAGGGAGGTTAATATATTATAACAAAAATATCATCTAATTTTGTAATTTTAAGGTTAGAAAAATTTATTTTGACCAAAATAAATAAGAATTTCAGAATATTTAAAAGACTGTATAATATGGTATTTAAAAATGTGGTAGTTTTTCTTATCCAGCTTAAAGTGTACATACATAAAGTTTTGTCAATACAAATTGATACAAGTTAAAAAGCTTTGACTGAATTTGATCTACATCAAAAAATCATTATAATTTTAAAAATTTTAATAAATCACATGTCATGGGAGTATTAAATATTATCACATTGCAAGTTTCTCTAAAAATTGTTTGTTTTCTTATAATCTAACTTAAAGTAAGTACGCCGAGAGGTATGCACAAGTTTTGTCGTTAGAAGTATAAAAGCTTCAATTTAGTTTGAACTATATTCAACAATTATTTAGTATACCTTATATGTTTATGACCATATTAACACACTCTTCCAAATAATCCACTTATTTATTTTGGTGAAAATGGATTTTTCTAACCTTAAAATACAAAATTAGATGATATTTTTTGTTCTAATAGGTACATTAACCTACTTTTGATACAGATTTTATTATTTCATAATAGAGAAGTTAGATTTTTTTTAATAAATGCGGTTTAGTTAAAACTATTTTATGGAGGAATGTAGACCCAATGCCCAAAAATATCAGTTGCACCTTACACTTTGGAACTTCATGAAATGCAGTATTTATATTCCTAAATTCTTAAACCAACCATTGTTATTGTGATACTATAAAGATTTATTAACTTTTAACGCTTAAACATAAGCGGTAACACTATAAATATTATTTCTTACATTTACTATACTTTGACAGATATATAACCTGAAAAGCCTTAAATGCCAAATTTTCAAAAGACTGCGTTCCGTACGTGGTCACGTGGTGGGACTTTGAGGTGTGGAGCATAGTACTTTTACTGTTAAATGTTGAAATGTAAAAAGTAATTATAAAATATTTATTAGGAAAATACATGATAATAAATAATCATTTTTAATAAATTAAGTCTGACAAAACATAATATATGATTGATATGGGTTTTAGTGATAATTTTGTCAAATTTAAATACAAAAAACTTGAACATACAAATGTAAAATAAATTATCCCAAACCACCTCCAGCAAGCGTGGCATACACAGAGGCCCCGATTTCCAGAACTCCCATTTGGGGGACCTCCGAACTTTCCGGAAATCTGTTAGTGATAGTTGGGACTGGAGTTGTAGTGGGTAATGTAGTGATAGTGACATTCGAGGATGAAGATGTATTGGTTACGTTCTTTGTGTTAATGGCCTAAAACCACAAGCAAAAGCACAAGTTATCAAGTTTTGTTGCTGACAAAAAAGTAAATTCGCTAGAAGCGTCCATCGGAATTACAGAGCTTAATCCCTTTGAACTTATGACAAAGCATTTCTTTACTTACGGTTTTTTTGAATTCCGCCTGGTTTGTCGGGATAAATCTGAGGCTAGGTCTGAAGCCATCTTTTCCTGCATGGTAACTGTTTTCAATTTTTAATCCTTCAGGACTAAAGTAGGCGTAGTTTCCCTGGACTTCTAGATTATCGTTTGCGTCAACTTTTCCAGTTTCTTCTCGTTCAATGCCATTTTTTGTTTTATATCTGTAAAGAGTATTGAAAAAAGGATTAATCAATGTAAAAATTTTTGTTTAATTAAAGTTTAATGGTGCAAAAGAAGTTTAGCTAATTAAAAAAATAATAAAAAAAGAAGAAAGTTTTGAAATGTCAACTGTTTTCTTAATGTAAAAACTATATATATATACCCCTATATTATATACCCCTATATTCGTAAACTTAATTTCATAAAAGTTATACCCAATTTTTGATAAAATTCACAGTAATTTTAATCAGAATTTTATGTAGAATTTAAAAATGTAAAAATATATGGGGTGTAGAATGGGCCAAAAAAATCGACTATTTTTTTTTGGAAAGTATATAGAAAATATTTTTTGGGGTGACAAAAAAAATTATGGTGAAAGTTTGAGTCCATAATATTAATATTAAGAGGTCCATCATCGCAATTTTAGATTTTTTTTTTCCTGAGCGAGTTTTTGTCTCAGAACATCCAAACCATTGAGTTTAACAAAATTGACTTAAGATTATTTTTTGAAGAAAATTGAATGCTCTACAAAAAAGGTTTGATTGGAATTTCCCGTCAGATGAACCCTTTTCTTACAATCATGCCTTAGAAATTGGTATAGTTTTACAATTTGATCTTTTAACTTTGGAATTTTGTAATTCAACTAAAAATCAGTACCCTGAAAAAAAAAACAATAAATATTCTTATGGGAAATCAAATGCTCTACAAAAAAAGTCTTTTATCATTTTTGGCTAAATTCACTCCATCAAAAGTTATTCAAGGTTAAATTTGAAGTCAAAACGAAATTTTAACCTTGAATAACTTTTGATTGAGTGAATTTAGCCAAAAATGATAAAAGACTTTTTTTGTAGAGCATTTGATTTCCTATAAGAATATTTATCGGTTTTTTATGGGTACTGATTTTTACATGAATTACAAAATTCCAATTTAAAAGATCAAAATGTAAAACTATACCAATTTTTAAGGCATGATTTTAAGGAAACGGTTCATCTGACGGAAAATTTCACTTTAACCTTTTTTGTAGAGCATTTAATTGTCTTAAAAAAATATTTTTAAGTCAACTTTGTTAAACTCAATGGTTAGGAAGTTCTGAGCCTAAAACTAAATTAAAATTGCGGTGATAGACCTCTTAATATTAATATTATGAACTTTCACAATAATTTTTTTTTGTCACTCCAAACCATATTTTCGATATACTTTTCAAAAAAAAAAATAGTTGATTTTTTGGCCCAGTCTAATGGGGAGTTCTATTAAAAATAACAATGTGTGGTATAATTTTGTACAGGCATTTCAGGAACACCTTGTATACTGGACAAAAAATACATTTTATGTTTTTGAACGTTTTTTTATTTCAGCAACCTTTTCAAATTCTATTGGTGACATCAAGGATAAATTAAAAATACCTTACAATTATTATGGAAAAAATTTCTAATTATTTATAATTATAGCCTATTAGCTAAGAATAAACATATTTATATTGTACTTATAACTTAACAAATGCAAAATATAAACAATAAAAAAATAACAACCTATTTAATTTTTTGAGAAAAAACGTGATTTCTAATTATAAAATAAATATTCTTACTGAAAATGGTATCCTTTATTTCCGTGGACGCTCACATAATGCACAATTTGATCTTCCACATCCTGATACGAATTTTGCCCTTTGCAAAAGTCCTCTGACAAGCACAGTGCGCTTAAAAACAGCACAAGTCCCTTCATCGCCTCAGAACACACGAAAATCTAGCACCTCAAAAATTCGCGTATCAGTTTTATACTTAACAAAATAAAAAGAACGTCGGCAAGGATATCTTGTCTCGTTGTTTTACGTTCTCGTTTGAAGCACCGAAAAAATGTTAAATTGTAGGTTTTATCTTTTCGGTTACGAGTGGACTTAATGGACGAAACAAAACGAAAACCATGAGGACGAGGAGTTAATTATTATTTTGTGCGACCATTTGGGTCGGCTTGGAGTATAACTGCTTTTTGTGTGGCTCTTCATGATTTATTCGCAGATAAAAACAACATACACTGGTCATAAAAATAAAGGTCCATGACCCCATGAATGCGATATTTATAAAACATAAAAATCTAGATTGTGTTTCTATTATTATTATTATTATTATTATTATTATTATTATTAAGTAAATTTAAGGGCGACCGAAGACATGTATTAAGAGCAAGTTTTGTGATTGTTTTAATATTTTTTGTCATAATATTTGTTGGGGAGTTTATATTTTGTATTTCTTTTTTAATATGACTACCTATCGGCATTCCTAAGATACAATCTTTATTTTTTTTTGGTTTAAAAAAAATCATAAAAAATGCAAATTATATTCGTAAATCCTTATTTTACAGTTAGGTGTTTATTAATATTTTAATGAATAAATCAGCTTTAGGTTTTCGAGTGTATTTTACAATAATTATTATTGCCAATTAGTCAGTCAGCATTTAAGTGAGTAATTATTAATTCAAGTTTATTTAATTAACTTGAAGGTTTTATTTATTAATTAACATGACAAATTTGGGTTAACCAACAAGTTTTTACATGAATTTTAAAACACTGTTTATTTAATTTTGTTTAAAATTTATTTTAAATATTAACCTATCCTTAAATTTAAAAGATTTTATTTATTAGCTTAAAATCAAGTACAGTTGAAACAAGATTATTGACCTAATATTGTCAAGGCTAACACTAACATTAAACTAAATATGAATCTTTCTTTAAAAAAGCTGAACCTATTCTTGGCTGTTAAATGTTAAGAAAGACTATGTTTCCATGACACTGTGACCTTTTAAATACACATTGACAAGTTGTGGCTTTATGGCGCTTTAGTCACGGGCTGAAGTTAGCAACAGATTTTTAGTTACGGGCTGAAGTTAGTTTTAAGTTAGTTGACAGTTGTCAAATGTCAAACAACAAATAAAGTGCCTCTGTAAAATAATACTAAATTTCAAAATTATTTTATTATCTCAATACAAAAATAGAAAAGTATTAAATAGTTTCTCAACGCCAATATTTGAAAAGTTTAATGAACATTGTACTAACCTTTTAATTTCGCCGGCAGTAAACTATAACTTAAATTTGGGCACGGACCCCACTGTAAAGTCCTCACAAAACATTTTTTTTACTTTTACTGTGAAAAACTCAATTTTCAAAAAACACATTTCGATTTATAACCTTTATAATCTGTGTTTGTAAAATATAAAAATGTGACATTTCACAGTGACACACAAATTCCCCCATTGTTTCATAGATGGCGCTCTATACAAATTTTTGATTAAATCATTTTAAGATAATAATAAGTATTTGTCGTAGAAAAAGTATAGTATGCACCTCGTTTATAAACTTTTCTATATAGCGTTTATCAAACTTGATACATAATATACTATTATTCTTAATTTAAGATTAATAATCGATTAGACCAAATTTTTTAAAATTCCCTCTATATCAAATATTGTCTATTATTTTTGTTCGACTTTCAAGATTAGGATATAATGACCATGTTTATTTTAAGTAGATTATCCTATCTATTTTTCTCTATCAGTCTTGGTAAAAAAGAGATAGCATAAGCCAGTCTTTACCTTTTGAAATAAACATGGTCATTATATCCTAACCTTTATTTAAAGTCGAGCAAAAGTTAAAAAAAGAATAGACAATATTTGAAACAATTATTGCTTAACTTACATAAAGAAAACTTATATTTAATCCAAAAGTAAATATTGTACCGCCAAGAATAATAACATTTTTATCAAAAAATACTTATTCTTAAATTAAGCATAATAAAAACCTTAAATAAAAAAAATCAGGTGGGCTCTTTAACGTTCGCACTGTATATATTTTTTGTGTTAAAAACTAAAACAATCACATCCCATTTAAACATTATCATAATGTTGTTCCAAAATTGAAAATTAAAAAAAGAAAATCCATTAAGCATACTCTAAAAACCATTAACCAAAATGCTTTAATATTACAAGCAGGTAGAGTCAAATTATGTATATCCCCAATAATTATGTTAAAATAAGAAACCACCTGTATTATTATAACCCATAGAAATAACCAAGCGAAAAATTACTTTCTTTAGTCCCTGTTTACTTGTTACATGAAAGCTACTAATAAATTACCCAAATACATTAAATATTTCCGTAATATATGCCTTTTAGGCTGAAGAATAATAAAATTTCCTCGTTTAATTTTTCGACATTTTCCAACCATTTATTACTTGTAATATTGAAAGTATCAAGTCCTTACGGTACATGCAGTCGACCTCCAACCGTACTTCCTTTGCTATTTGTATAAACTAGGTTAACAAAACAAAATGAACATCCATTGTGCACTATTTCTTATGTTATCTATATTTATAGATCAGTGTATGGGTCAGGATTTCGGGCATATACCTCTGAAGAAAACGCAGAAGAAGAAAAACGTCGATGGGTTTCCTATAAGGTAAACATTTATATATATATATATTTTTTTTTTTTAAATGATGTTGACTTAAAATTTTCTAGTTATGATAACTTTTACTACTGGAACCCAGACCCCTTTTACACCTGGTCATTCCCTTCAATTGACCCAATATCGTTCTATGGCTTTTATGAACCCATTCAAGGAGTCACGAGGTTATCACCTGTGGATACCTACAAAGAAAAAACAAACACCCTAATTGATAATCCTGTGGATGATACAGTTATAATAAAACCAAGTAAAAACAGCCAAGGATTGTATACAAGCACAAACGGTGATAAAAGGGTTCCTCAACAAAATGTCAAAATTGAGAATGGTGATGATTCTGATGATGAAAATAGACATGTAGATAACAAAGTGGATAAATTAAGGATTGTCGTGGAAGATGAAGAAGATGAAAAATCTACTGTAACACCAAGGAAATAAGATATTATCAATAGATATTTAATTAATATTAAGGTAGGAATGTAATACAAAACAATAATACAAAATGTTATTTATATTTTTTTCTAAATATTTTTTTATATATTAATATGCAGCAATTTTCTGACCTTTGCTCTCATGAAACTCTACAAAGAAATATAGTTATTAATTCCACGTTGTTTTTCTTAAATTACCTATAATAATGAAAGTCTAACTACCTACGGCTACTGCTGTCTTGAAGGCCGTTTTATGCACTTCGATAAAGTCTAATTTAGATCATTGCAATTAAAATGATTATCTTCAGCGATAAAAATCGATTTTTGTTCCTGGGTGTTTTTTTGTACGCTGTTTTTTATGCGGAGAGCTGTTGGGCTGCACTGAATTCCCGAAATGGTGGAAGGTTTTTGGATAATATGAAACAGCTGTTTAAAAGGTTAGTTTGTTGAACTTTTTTCAAATATTATAATTAAGAAGAGTACACCTCATCATTACAAAATAGACAATTTTAGGATATTTACGTTGCAATAAATTTGGCTGTGCCTAAAAATTATATAATATTAGTATTTCGTTTACTATAAATTATTGTAATATAAAAATTATTAAAAAATTTAATCCCAATATAAAAAATGCAATTTGGCGTTTTTAAGTAAAAAAATTAAAATATATAGGGTAAAAAGTGGATTGGATGGTTTAAAATTTTTATTTTTTAACAAAATTAAAAAGTGTTTTTTATAACCATGAAAGCCACTTTTTGTTAAAATCTATTCAAATATATTTTGGAGGGATTGAATATTCATGCAATATCACCCTGTACAATTTAGAATAACCTTGTACAAATAATTGCGAATTATTTTCAAAACCTGTTTTGTTAGTATTTTGCTATTTATTACTGTATATTAAGTTATTAACTACAAAAAATTGCAAAAATGTACACATTTGTGTATTTTTTTGCTTTTGGCTTTTTGGCATTTTGGATTCTTGGTTTCTTTCCTACTTCTTCCTTCTCTTTGCTTCTTTGCTTTCTTTGCTTTTTTACTGTTTTGCATTTTGGCTGTTTGGCATTCTTTGCTCCTTTTTGCTCCATTGCTTCTCTTTAATTCTCTTTTGTTGCTTTTTAAGCTTCTCTGCTTACCTTTGCTTCTCTTTTCTTCTTTGCTTCTCTTTTCTTCTTTAAAGAAGTAATTACCGTTTTGATGTTTGGGGTTTTGCTGTTTGCTTTTTTTTACTTTTTTGCATCTCTTCTTTTACTTTTTTGCTTTTTTTGGTATTTTGATATTTTGTTTTTTTGGCTTTTTTATTTTTTGCTTTCTTGCCTTTTTGCTTTTTTGGCTTTTTTGGCTTTTTTGCTTTTTTAATTTTTTGCTTTTTTGCTTTTTTGGCTTTTTGCTTTTTTAATTTTTTGCTTTTTGCTCTTTTGCTTTTTTGCAATTTTGCTTTTTTGGTTTTTTTGCTTTTTTAATTTTTTGCTTTTTGCTCTTTTAATTTTTTGCCTTTTTGCTATTTTGCTTTTTTGGCATTTTTGCTTTTTCAATTTTTTGCTATTTTGCCATTTTGCTTTTTGATTTTTTGCATTTTTGCATTTTGGCTTTTTTACTTTTTTAATTTTTTGCTTTTTGGGTTTTTGCTCTTTTGCTTTTTTGCATTTTTTCTTTTTTTGGCTTTTTTGCTTTTTTGCTTTTTTGCTTTTTTGCTTTTTTGCTTTTTTGCTTTTTTGCTTTTTTGCTTTTTTGCTTTTTTGCTATTTTGCTTTTTGTGATTAATCCTTAAATATTGATAAATTAACCTTTTTTGTTGCACATTTCTTATAATTTCATAATATTATTTATGAATATCAGATATTATCTGTAGTTTTTTGTTTTATTCTTGAAAAAGTTGAATGTTTGACAAATTAAATTTATAGGTTGAGTGATATACGTCTAGATTTTTTCTCTTATTAAAGGAAACTATTTGATTTGATTAATATGTCAAAATTTATAAACTTTTTTTAAACAAATTTCCATTATTTTAAAGGTATGTAATAATAATTATTATTATTTATTAATAATTGATATTTCGTAAACAAGATATTTTTTA